AGGAGAGAAAAAAAATAGCTATCACAAAGCAAACAGTCGAGATATCATCGTTCTCTAAATGCAGAGACATAAAAGTACATCATCTATAAGCTTAAGGATCAGATTTTCACATGTACCAAAAACAAGGCACTTCAAAGACCAAATTCACAGAGACAAAATAAACAAATATAAGAATGATTCAAACAAAGCCTCGCTTTCAGGAAACGCCTTCAACTCAACGAGGGATGTCCATATTTAAGCATTAGACAACAAAACAACCAAAACAAATGAAATATCAACCAAGCACCTGCTAATAAATTATGTTTTATCAAAAATAAACTGAAACAAACAGAAAACCAAAAAAAAAAAACAGAAGGGGAAAGAATGAATAAACGGATTTGGTGTACAACGTGCCTAAAAATTTTAAAAACCATAAATTTTCTTCTTTAACCTGATACTTTAGGGCATCATTGTACTGTTGAAGGCGGAGGTGGACTTCACCAAGAGACTGACAAGTGGCGAGCAGCTGCTTATCCGGCAAATACCTGATGGAAACGTCGTAGTCTACGCGCAGCCATCTGAGAGCCTCCACATACTCGCCTCGGTTCTTGAGTAAGTTCCCGATTGTATTGGCCCAACGCGCCTCCTCCTGCCGGTTCCCCTCCGCCGCCGCGGCCTTGTACGCCCTCTTTGCTGCGTTTAGCTGCTGTTGCTGGTTCGGTTCCTCTTTTCGACCCATGTTTTTGTTGGGGCCGTCGAGTATCTCCGGTGAGCCCTATTGATTATACGCACCTTGTTTTTCAGGTTTAGGAGTTTTTCCAATTGCTTGTTTCTCAGTGGCGGGTTTTGAAATTTGGGGAAATGGTTTTTTTCCGCCAACTTGGTCATCTATTCGACTAGTCTATATCCCGTTTGATGCACGGAACTTATATTTAAAAAAAAATTTTACACTCTATTTTAAATATAAATCACTATATTTTTCACATCTTATCTATTATAGAAATAAAATAAATACAAACGATGAAAAAATATATATTATTAAACATTTTTCTTTATACATTATTTTTCTTTAAGGAATATTATTTTATGGTTTCAATTTTAAAAAAAAAAAAAATCAATTATTCAAAATATGATTGTTAGTATAAAAAAAATAATAGAATAATCTAGAATTTAAAGTAAAGTTATTTTTTATTTTTTAGAAATCAAAATCATCCAATTTTTTTTTTTTTTAATTTTCAAAAACATTTGGCAAGTTTGTTAATGAGATAAATCAAGTTATACAAATGATTAATTAGAAAAAAACATTATATTCATTATATATTAAGAAATTTGTTTATGTAAATGTGGATAAAAAAGTATTATACTAATTAGTTTTTTAGGAATATGATTATATGGAAGTGAAAATAAAATAAAATGTAACAAAAAAAAATCAGTAATTTTCTTTTTGGGGCAATTGGATTTTGGCCTTCTGGCGCTCATGATATGTTTGTCGGTGATACTGATTTGCAGCCAGAGTTCTATTCTTGACGCGGATCGGACTTTCAGTATTGTTTAAGTAATCAGAGAATATGGTAGGTTTACTTGTTGTATATAGAAAGTTGGCTCCACTATGGAGCCAACTGTTGACTTAATAACAAAACCGTTAAAATGATTGTGAGACTCAAATCCTTGTCATCAAATAAAGATCAAAATGTGTGGCCAAGATTCCATCTT